GGGTTTGAACCACCAGCCTTCTGGTTAGCAGTCAAGTGCTTTAGGCACTACACTACCAGAGCTCCCCTACAGAGATGCTCTTTAGTGCTGTTTAAAGAAAGAATAGTAACATTTCCCAAGTACTTAACCCAATTGTTCTAAAGCACAGAGTTTTAAAATCAGGAAAGATGTGAGACAGGCTTGAAAGGATACAATTACAGATTGTAATCAATCTGTATGCTGAGCAAATAATCCAAGATGCTGGATTGTATGGAAAACAGGACATCAGTATGGGAGGAAGACTCATTAGCAACATGCCATATGCAGCTAACACCATCCACATTGCTGAATGTGAAGAAGACTTGAAGTGCTTATCAGAGACTATAGCCTTCAATATGCATTACATCTCAACATAAAGAAAATTAAAATACTCACAAATGCATCAATAAGCAACGTCATGTTGAACAGTGAAAAAATTGAAGCTGTTAGGGATTCCATTTTCCTTGAGTCTGCATTCAAGATCCATGTAAAAGCAGTCAAGAAACCAAAGGATATATTGCACTAGGTAAACTTAGTGCAAAGATATTCTTTAAAGTGTTAAAAAGCAAAGATTTCACTTTGAGTATTAAGGTAGGGCAGACGTAAAATATAGAATTTTAATGGCATCATGTGCATGCAAAACCTGGACAATAAATTAGGAATAATGAAGCAGAATGGATAACTTTGGAATTTTTTTTTTTGTGTGTGTGTGTGTGAACAATATGAACTATACAATGGACAACAAGAAAAACTAATAAATCTGTCTTTGAAGAAATACAGTCGGAATGCTTCTAAGAAGCAAGGAAGATGAGATTTCATCTCATCTACTTTGGACATTTTATCAGTAGGGACTAGTCCCTGGCTAAAGACATTATACTTGGTAAAGTAGAGGGTCAGCAAGAAGAGGAAGACTCTCAAAGAAACTGATTTACACAGTGGTTAAAACAATTGGCTCCAGTACAGCAAAGGTTGTGAGGATGGTGAAGGAACAGGCAGTTTCATTCTGTTCTCTTAGGGTAGATATGAGTCAGCACTGACAACAGCACAATCACAATAGTCCAGGTACGCTCTGCAATTTTTATTAAATAGCACTAGAAAGAAAAAGAGGTGATATAAAATAATATATTTCCACTTGTATAAAGGAATAATTATATACTTTGCATTATTTGTATGTCAAATTTTATCTGAGCCAATAAGTCATTACCAAAGTTTCCTTTGGCAAAAGCAATGGAATTGTCATAGAATATGAGTTTTGCATTTTAATTTCTAACCATATGTTCTCTTAGAATTTCCTGTCACTTGTGATATAAAACTGAAAAATAAAAATAGTTTTTAATCTGACATAAAATAATCATCTTAATACCGGTTTGCAGACCTTCAGTCTTTTCCTGAGTTATTCAGAACTTGGTGAGTATTTGAGTTATAAGTTGCAGTCAAATGCAATTAGAAAATTAAACAAGACTAAATATGATCAAGCACATACAATTTTTGAAATCTTTTATTTCCTTAGATATTCTGACACAGATGATTGAACTGTAAATTTTAAGGGAAAGAAAGTTGAATATATATGTGAGTTTGTTTGTTTCTTGTCCGGGTACATTCAGACACAATAGTTTATTTATATTTTATAGATAACATACAAATTTTAATATAAAATATTGTTGTTGTTGTTATGAGTCAGACCCGACTCATAGCGATACGACTTGGGTTTCCGAGGCAGTATCACTATGGAAGTAGATTGCCCCATCTTCCTTCTGAG